CAAAAAGATGTGGAATTAGGCTGATAACTATATCATCTTACCCAGATGTATGTGCTCATATGAAAATATCCTATTACAAGATTGCCTTTCTTTTTTCATAGTTTTTTTTTAAATAACATTTAATAAGATTATAACTAGACTATTAAAAAAGAAAGTAAAGAATCTTCACAATTTTAGAGAGCTATTTTCTGCCTGATGTGTGTAATTCTTTATCATATAATTTGTCTGCTGTTCTTTTTTAGACATAATTGTTTTTGTTCTCAAGCATTAACACTGATTGACTTTAATTTAATGGATGAAAACAAGAGGGTTGATTCTGAATTTCAGTCATTCTAATGTTCTGCATTGAGAAACTGATTAACAGATTGCCAGGTCACAACTCAGATTCTCTCTGGTCTTTGCTGACCTTGATTACACAGAAGACACCATATTTATAATGAACACTACCCATTCTTGAGCTTTCTGCTGTGTGGTATACTTGGAATTCTGCTTACAGAAAGGAATAAAAAACTAAGAAAACTGTATGGCTCCCTTCATGTAATCGTCTTGACAACAATACCAAAGTGGTTTGCCATTGCTTTCTAGCCTACAGCCATGGAATCCCAAGTATCAACCAAGTTATGTTTCAGTTTTTCAAGAACAGCTAAGGTTGGCAGCAGAAGGTAGGAGAGGAGCAAGGGGAAGGAAAGGATGAGGGGGGAAATGATGCCTTTCTTTTTAAAGGAGCAGAGTGGCTCTCCTTTAGTTAGATGCTAAACTCACTAAGAATAACAGACCTACAAAGAACCAAAAGATCAACTTGACTACCAAGTAGGGTTTGCCTCTGAAGTAAACAAGCAATTGATAAATCAACTGCCAACTTTTTGTTTTACTTAATTTCATATGGCAAACAGATGAACAGATGAGTTACAGAAAGACATTAAATTATAACAGATTTGAAGAAGGCTGTTGCATATGTTGTATTAACTTCATCTGAGCCCAAATTATGAAAAGCTAGAACAGTATTTTCACCATACGTTTGCACTGTATGTGACCACCTGGCACACAAACATTTACTGCATCTGTCATTGTCTTAAAGCAGCAGACCCCAATCTTTTTTGGCACCAGGGACCGGTTATGTGGAAGACAATTTTGCCACAGACCAGGGGAGGGGAGATGGTTTCAGTTTCACTCTCTCACCCGCCGTTCACCTCCAGCTTTGCAGCCTGGTTTCTTACAGGCCATGGACCAGTAGCAGTCCATGGCCTGGAGATTGGGGACCCCTGCTTTAGAGGATAAGTAGGACACTCATTTACTATGCAGATAGCACATCGCATTATCTATTTAAAATATGAATTTTCTAGAAACCAGGAGACTATGAATTATAGTCCTGCCTTAGGCATGGAAGCCAATGGGTGACCTTGGGCCATCACTCTCTCTCGGCCGAACCCACTTCACTTGTTGCTGTGGGGAAAATAGAAGGAAGGAGTATGTGTGTTCGCCATCTTGAGTTTCTTATAAAAATAATAAAGGAAAGATTAATTAAAATAAATAAATACATGAGCCAATTTTAGATCCTTTTACTTAAGCTGTATCTTCAGTAACATAAAGGCAAGGTAGAAGAGCACAATCAAAAAGTTATTCTAAATTTCTCAGAGAAAAGAAAACTGATTCTTGCTAGGTTAAAAATCATCTGAAGCAGAGTATATTAACCAAACCCTACATTTTAAAATATGATGAAAGTATATAATGTGGTTCTAATGCCATTGCAAGACACTTAAGCCGAATCTTAGGATGTGTTGTTTAAAAAAAAACCTGCCTCACAAAATGAGGTCTAAACTTAATTATACATAGAAATTTTCATTATAATATTTTTTTAAATCAAGCATTTTAAAAAACCATTTATTCTGCTTTCAAATTGCAACAGCAAGCTATAATTAACAGGCATATAGAGTTAAACCCTTCCTATGGCCTACACAACTATCAAAGACCCAATTTTAGCAATTAGCTCAACTTATAATGCTCCATCTTCTTCTCAAACAATCAAGTGATACCTAAGTAAACTATAGCTATCTACTTATCAAGCTAATAACCTAACACAACTAAAATTTAATGGCAGAAAAAGAATAGCATCCTCCAAATGTGTTGTCCCTGAAAAAGTTATCAATATTACTGATCACACAGGAAACCACCAAAACACAAATGAAAGACAGAATTTCCACCTTATCAGTCAAATAATCTATTACCAACAAGGCATCAGTCACTTGCAAAAAAAAAAAAGCACCCACAGAATTTTTCTGTCTAAGAACAGACAAAGTAGACAAGATAATAAGAATATACAAATGCACCAAACAATGAAGGTCACTTCTCTAAAATTCCTGCACTGATTATGCTACCTAGCATGGTAAGGAAATGTCTACATCCCCAAAATGAGCTGCAAGAATTTCAACAATACAACATGCCACACCTGAGCTATAGATATTCTCTTACTCATAATGTTAATTTAAATCTGAACTGGGCAACTGGACATGGTTTATGCATTCCACACTGGCCCCAAGTAGCTCAAGATTTATTTTAGGCTTATATGCCACTCCAATATTAAACTGATTCTGAGTGGCTTATTGAACACAATATTAAGAACATAAATTATTGAAAACAACTCAACAAATACACAGTCATTAGAGAACAGTCAAATTATATACAATACTCCCCTGCGGACCCTATAGGCCTGTTAAACCAAAAAAAGGTCTTAATTGCTTCATAAACACCCAAGTATTCTATAGTAAATATGAAAAGAACTGCACAAGTGACTATACCATTAAATTTGGCTGCAAAATGTTTGAACTACAGTGATATCTGTCCCTTCCCAGATAATCTAATGTCTCTAACTCAAAGTGCACAGGAAACTTTCTGTATCTTGATTAAGTCCAATCTCTGGCTTTATCACAGACAAAGTGCAACAGGAAAAGGAAGGAATTGCATCTGAAGAAGACTGAATACTGAACACAGACTGAACATTTAATACTATTCTGGTAGAATAAGATGTGGTCTATACAAGGGTGAAAAGAAGAAAGGTAGACTAGTATAGATGTTTGGGTGAGCTGAAAGAGGTTAGCAATTGCTTAATGGTACTAGCAACATTTCCCATTTTTCAACTAAAAACAGGCTGCTAAAGCACAGAAAGCTTCATGTGAGTAAGAATTCTACAAAGAAAATTGAGTTCAGTTCTGAAGGCTCCCAAACTCAAAATATTCTCAGAAAAATTCTGAACTTTAATTTTATGTGTGCGTCTTTTGAAGTAGGATCTACATAGAGGACATTGGGATTCCAATAGAAAAAAAAATAGACTAATGTATTAAGTTTAATATGTGTTTATAATTGATGTATGTAAGAGCAGGATGAGGTGAAAAAATCTTGAATTGGGAAAGCAGACAGTACAATTTCAGATTTTAAGACAGTAATACTGAACTATATATTCATTTGTTTGTTTAAAGAATATGTACGTAGCTAAAATCAGAAGCTTCTCTGCATTTGGTAAGTAGAAGAAAGTTTAATGTAAAAAAACATGGATAAATTTAATTCCACATCTGCAAGATGAAGCATTATAATCCATTCTACCACCTCCAATTTTTACAATTTAATTCTTTATTTGATTCTGTTGCACAGAAGATCAAATTGGAAGAAATGTTACTTCTCTGAAAATCATGAATAGTTAATACAACCTACTGAAGCTATTGCCAATAGCCAGAGGAAACTGCTTAACAGAGCATTTATTGGAAGAATTTAGTGGAACAGTGAAATGCTCTTTTTACTCAGGCAAAAATAAAACAAAAAAAGCAAATACAACCTAACTTCTTTCAGCAGGCTTTGAGTGATAGACATACATAAATTATGCTTTGTTCGGAACTTCCCAGACATGCTAATTTTGTGCGCAAGCAGGAAAAAATAAATGCCCATGAAGATCTAATGTATGATTTTCCAGCTAGAGCAGACATGTCAAACACAAGGCCCGGGGGCCGGATGCGGCCCGCGAAGTGGTTTCATGTGGCCCGCGAAGCCATCCTGGAAACAATGAGGGAACGGCCCCTGCTGCCTTGGCCCTGGCCCAGGCCAGCCGGGAGCCAATGTACAATTTTGTGGTGGCCATCTATGCTGAAACGCAGTCTTAGCTCCATAAGCCCCCCCCTGCATGGCCTGAGAGGAACAGTGAGGCTCCTCCAGTGGACCATGCCTTGGCTCTTGCCCTGGTCCCACCCCCTTCTTCCAGAGACCCTCAGATCTGTCCCACTCCTGCCCAGGCCCCCACAGGCCCCCTTGACACGAACGATGTAGAGCTGGCCACACCCACCCAGTAGGCCATGCCCACCCAGTAGGCTGCACCCACCCTGGCCACACCCACCCGGACCCCTGAGGGCAACCACAATGCTGATGCGGCCCTCAATGAAATTGAGTTTGACATCCCTGAGCTAGAGGGTACAGGCAGAATTTGGTAATTCAGTGAAAGGCTTTTCCTCTGTACCTGGTTCTTTTACAACTTCAGTGATGTTGGGGCTCTCGTAACATAACATTGTTCCACTATTCTGTAACAAAGTCTGGACTGCATTGGAGCAGCCCATGCTGTGGCTTTCCTTTTTCCGCCAGCATCAACCACTGAGAGGCACTTCTGGTGCTGTACATTCCTCCCAAATAACTTGCAGCTTCTTCCCTAGGGACTAGGTGTTCTCATTCTATCCTCCTGTATATTCAAGCCCTCCTGAAACCAATAGCTCTGTGCTTGTTTTGGGTTATTCTGATCTTTCAATTATTGAAAACAAGACATGTCTAGGATTTATGAGCTGGAAAAAAAAGAGAAGGGGAAAGGGAAAATTGTTAAAGAAATGGTAGCAGAGCCAGTGTGTGTAACTATGGTATCCCTTTTAGAGAACTGCATTATCTGCCACAGTGCAGTATCTCCATGCCGGTATATTCAGGAAACAGCTCATCTTGTAGCATCAAGTTTCAATAAGCTAACACAGTCTTACCTTTTTATGGCTTTGTAGCAAATGATGAAAACTAGAAAGAGGAACACTGGTATGGCACAGCATGCAGCAATAATGATAGCTGGACTTGGCCAGGGCGCTGCAGCAGGATAAACAGGAACGGTGGGAGCTGTAAAAGATAACACACTTAGTTGAGTCCTATCAAACACAAAGTTTATGATCTGAAGAGCTCTTTTAACCCAGAGTGAGGAGGAAATTGCCAAGAAAGTCAATTTATACCATAGAACATTCTCCATTATCTCAGGTAATAAACCCTACAGTGCCTTCTCACTACATATTATAATTCAATAGTAGCCAACTACTATAAGGCTACCTTAAATTCTCACTGGTCCATGCAGTTCAATGTTAATAACATTTAGTTTGAGCCCAGCCACTGTAGTTTATGAATTTGTTTGTTTGTTTGTTTTTTGGTTTAACACACTCAGTAAATCTAACTAACTGTGGTTTACTATTGTTAACCAAATCAGGCATAACATGATATATAAACTCAAGGCTCTGCTGGGTTCAGCAAGGTCATTTCCAAGACCTATCTGGAGACGGCCAATGTTTTCTGCAAATGAAACAGATGCTGTGGCACTAAGTAAAGGCTTATCTCTAACTCGTAAAACATTTGAGTTAAAGATCAGAAATTAAAATGTCTTAACATCGATGGAAGCCCCATTTCTTAGCAGCTGCCAATCAACCAATCTTTATTTTACCAAGTAAAAACATGCTGCTATGTCAACATATTAAACCCAATGAAGGAAAACACATCAAACATAAATGTCAAATCCTCCAATCAGTAGGCTTAGGAGTTCCTAGGATAGTCCCTCCCACTCCCCAAACTCCTTTTAGTTCTTATAAGGATTATTTTCTTTTTTGTCACTTTCTAAAGCACCTGGAAATTAGGATTTCAAAACCATATATATAAAGAAGGGGCTTCAACTCTCAAAAGTATATTTGTACTGATATTAACTAAAAGATAGATTGTTTCTATTTCATTCTATCATGAAGCTCAAAGTGGTATAAACATGGCTACTGAATTTAGTCCTTACCAATTATGATAATTAAATAATTAGGCAGCTAGTTGCCTAAAGCACATTACGGGACTTTATAACTAATATGAGATTTGAATCCAAGACTTCCCAAATCAAACCCAATTAATTAACTAATATACTGTATATTCAAAATTAAACCTGAGTTCAGTGGGAAATATTTTTCAGGGAATTGTGTATAGGAGGTCTTTATATAGTATTTGTTTCCCAAAGAGGGTTTAATTTATTGTGATTAGAGAAACAATACACACTGTTAATTACTTATCAGAAATAGTATCTTCGGGATATTGCTTTAATTTACTATGAAATTTAAGGAATGTAGCTTTATTTTTGCCTCTTTAAGAGAAGCTAACACACGCACACAAAATTATCATTGCAAATATAAGAAACAACCAACATTATATTTTGTTTTTATCCAAGTCACTGATCTGAGATGGCTCTACAAAAAGAAGGAAGAAAGGAAGGAAGGAAGGAAGGAAGGAAGGAAGGAAGGAAGGAAGGAAGGAAGGAAGGAAGGAAGGTGAAAGCATTAATTTTCAGCTATCTAAGCAATTTCATTTTCCGAAACTAAAAGTACAGCAGTTTCTTTATATCATTTATATTATTTTAATGGCCTTTAGAAATGAAATATTTGTCTTTATTGAAACAAATTTTCTACTCCTTTATTTGTGCATTAATTTCTTGATTTGGTATATTTCCAATTTATTTTCCATCTTAATTCTTTTCTATATCATTTAATTAGAACATGTTTCAATTTTTCCAAAATAAAATCAGACTAGGGAAAACCCTTCCTATTTTTCTTGCCTTTTTAAAGCCGTACCTTCACATTTTTTGAGGGGGTGAAGTCTTCAGTTTTCTAGTCATAATGTTTTTAATTCACAACTCTCAGACCAATTTACACGCCTATTACCACAAACTATTTCCATAACAATTACTTGAAAAAGTCTTGAAAGATATTAAATAGTGCAAAGCAAGAGTTTGATCCTGAATATCTTTGGTCTGGTGTCTATCTCTTTCCCCAATACAAATCATTTTACTGTACGTGAAGCTAATCAAGTATGTTGTGGGCTAAATCAAACTAGGTAACACTCATGCAATGATGTGAGTAGCATTAAATAATGTGAATGATGTAAATCATAGATGGTATAGCACCCTGGAATCAAGTGTGTTGAAGAAATAAAATGCACTTTTTGAAAAATTCATCCATTAAGTACCGGTAATAAGCAAATGTAGTATGGGTAGTCCTTGACTTACAATCACAATTGAGCCAAAAATTTCTGTTGCTAAGAGAGACAGTTGTGAAGTGAATTTTGCCCCATTTTACAACCTCTCATGCTACAGTTGTGAAGTGAATCACTGCAGTTGTTAAGTTAGTAATACAGTTGTTAAGTAAATCTGGCTTCCCCATTGACTTTGTCAGAAGATCACATGACTCTGGGACCCTGCAACCATCGTAAATATGAGTCAGTTGCCAAGCGTCTGAATTTTGATCATGAATTGTGACCATGGGGATGCTGTGATGGTCGTTAAGTGTGAAAAATGGAAATAAGTCACTTATTTCAGTGCCTTTGTAACTTTGAACGGTCATTAAATGAACTATTGTAAATCTAGGATTACCTGTACTGCTAAATATGATATTTTACTTTTTCATAGCATACATAAAAAGTAATTTTCTCCTAATCAAGTTAGTCCATTTTTCCATTTATTTTTACTACTTGATCAGACAAAAGGTAAATAAGTTTTTGAAATTCAGGTATTAAGAGGACAGTAAAAGACCCATCAGCTGGCCCAGGAGCTGCTATGGCACAAAAAAGGTAATTGGCCAAACAGCAAATCATCTGTCATAGCACTACGTTATCTGTCTATGACAGACAATAATGATATTGTCTGGCCCTGTTCAAGGCAAAGATAATATTTTATTTGTAATATGATGCATATGCAACATAAAATATACTTTAAAATAGAACAGATCATATATTTGGACAACTTTTAAGCAAGATTTATTTGGGGAAAAATATAATTGGATTATCATCATCATCATCATCATCATCATCATCATCATCATCATCAATGCTGTTGTTGTCTAAATACGCTGTAGGCCAAATAAAAAGACAAAGCCATCTGAACACATGCCATTTAAGAAATGAATTCAGCATTAAAGAAATGAAATTTGTATTAGTGGGGATCAATTTAGATATATGTGTCTTATGTAGTATTCATGAATGCACTTCGGCGACTCCTTGGCATATCCAGAATGTCATCACGTCAGCTTCGCTTCATTGTCCCTGACCCTTAGAAATGCAGTTGGCAACACCTGAGCAGTCATGAAAGACATGGAGAACTGGATCAAATTTTATAGCAAGAGGAAAGACTGATAACAGTATGGGTCACAATGAACAATTCTTCACAGGACACCAGATTGAAACAATTATTTGTGGAAACACAGATCACTGTTAGGCACTCAAAAAAGCCGGCTTCTCTGCTGGCCAGGGAGTATCCAGAAAATAATAGGTCTCGGACCAAACAGGTTTGTGGAGGGAAAGACAAACTGTGCAGACAATTTTGTGCATTCCATAAAAGGCTAAAAGTAAATCATTCCTCAAGCTGAGCTTTATTCCTAGAGAGATGGGCATGTAGTTGTTGTTTCCTCAGTAAAAACAGAACAGCTGTGCCGGTTGCTTTCTTCCTTGATATTCTAAAGATTTCCCAATGTAGTCCTTGGCCTGGGATTCTTAATGGAATCCTATCCAAAAGCTAAACAGGACTAGATTATTTTACCCTCTCTGTGGTGACAATACTTTATACACAATTTAAAGAATATTTATAGTCAGGGCTTTTTTTCTCATAGAACGCCCAGAACGGAGTTCCGGCACCTTTTTGGGATGGAACCTTGTAGGGTAGGCAAGGCTGGTTGTATGACGTGTATGAGTTCCGGCACCTTTTTTTGTTTGTTTGTTTTAAGAAAAAAAGCACTGGGACTACTATCCCAATAATCCTCATTAGCATGACTCTATTGGTTGAATGAAAGGAACTGCAGCTCAGCACATCTGGATGGTCCCTGATGGGGAAGGCTGAATTAAACTATACATTCTGTTAAGTAATCGTGACATTAATTTGGCAGTTCATAGTGCTACAATCTTTCTACAAATCTGAAGTCATTTATTAAAAGTATATTTTTGACATCCCTTGATTCCTTTTTGTCAGTGCAAGTTCCCATGGCAGATCTAAAAATAAATATAATGAATGATACATGGAATATTATTCTCTCTTTTTAAAGGATAAATGCTATGTTATCTAAAGGTGCCAGGATGACAATTTTAAAAGAAAGAACCTTGCCTGGATAGGAGGAGAGGAGAGGAGAGGAGACATTACCTGGATAGGAGGAGAGGAGAGGAGAGGAAGGAAGGAAGTGATGTTACAGAATACTTATAACTATTCTAATTTTTCAAAGAAGTCTCAGCTCATAGAAAAATTGTATGGGCTTACAAGCTTATGAAATTCAAAGATTTCTAACAGCCATCAAGGATATTCCAGCTATATAGCTAGATATTACTCCATCCTTCTTAAAGCCTTACTGTAATTTGCACAAGAAAACTTGTGCAATACACCAAAATATCCCCAGCCTCTGTCACTCTTCTGAGACTGATATGCTAAGTGTGAACCATGAACCAGACTGGAAGATAATAAAAGACAAGTAATAGAAGTTCTGAAGCTAAATTTAATACAAGTTCTGAAAAAAAACAACCAACACATGTTCTTATTTGTTGAGAAATTCTGCCTAGGGAAATGCTTAAATATCTTTAAATATCTTGAGTCTACCAGTCTGGGGAATGAAATACATCTTTGATTCATTTTTATTTTTACAGTATTTTCCAAAAGGATTATAATTATGCTGGAAGCAACCTCAAAAATTGAGCTTAAGAAATGACTCACACATACTTTAAAATAAACAAAGGCAGGTTAATTCCATAGTCAATTTATGAAAAAGTTTCTTCTTCCTTTCACTGTAACTGAAGTTCTAGTCATTTTTTTATTGGATGATTGGATGATTCTGAGGTTAAAAAACTGAAGGCTG